AAGAAAGCTTGAAATATGTTTATTGATACAGATAGGTGGACAACAATTTAGATATACTTTGGCATTGCAAATTACTTTTCTTAATTGTTACCATGCCAAGGTTTCAATTAGATTGAATCAGACTGGTTTCAATTCAATTAGATTTTTTTTTTTTTGGAAGGCACCCTTAGGGATTTCATGTCCGTTAGTAAAGAGTCAGTCGCTAGAAAAATTTTATAGGTTTTATTCTCAAATACTGATTTTGATAAAACATTGGCATCTGTCAAAGATTGGTCTTAAAGCGGAAACGAGAAAAAGACTCCGATTACTCTCTGATGTGTTGACAAGTATTTCATCCACGCACCTAGTGGATGCTTGGCATAAATACATTTATTCATTTTATTTGTTTTATGTTTACTTCCACCAAGTCATTGACTCGTCGTGCACTTTAAAATACGCACTAAGCATTTCAAAGTCAAACGAGAAGTAAGGATAGTGAAAGAGAAAAACAGGAATACATTGACGAGAATTTCAAAATAAAATTTAATAACATGAAAGTCAGTTATTTGGACTGTCAAAAACCTAACACCCACCACAAGGTCAGTAAATGAATCTGGAAACCACTAGTACCCCTATTAATATCATCACATTTTGAATGTATATTCCTCAAAAGAATAATACAAGCATTAAAACAAATTAACAAGACAAACTAGACTAGTCTCACGTATATTTCTATTTTCAGTCAGAGGTCACGGAGAGTGCATCACTGGCAAGAGGAGTACAGTCCCGTTCAGCGGAGGGACCACGACCGCTTCAAAACGTTACTGATCAAAATCAAACGAGGGTTTTTAGTCTCTCACAGAATGAGGTTCAAGAAATCGGCTGCGTTCTTGGAGAACTTGTCCAGTGTACGTGTCTGAAATATCTTGGCGAGGACAAGGTAACCAACGTTTATTGATTTATTTGTTTGTATACTTGCTTGCAGACTGGTTTGCTTGTTTATCTATTTTAATCGTCTGTCTGTGTGCCTGTCTTTGTGTGTCTCTCCGTTGAATTGTATTTTATTGATCCAATAAGAAAAAGGCAAAATTACTAAGATTGACACACACTGAAGATCGGTATTGCTTGTAATTAGACGTGTACAAAGGAGTTATTTTGACTGCTTTTCACACATTAATTATAAAAAAACGTCTCAGGTGTCCCCGACTGAGTTTGCAGTACTCAATAAAAAAACAAACTTCATTCATTTCTTTATTTTTTTTTACTAAGGACTTGACGTGACTGTGGCGTTAATAGACACTTCATTGCGTTGTTGCGGTTTCACTGCGGTACTATTTTGCTCAATACCTTAATGATGGCGGTACATTATTTGCAATTAAAGTCCCATATTTGACTTCAATATGTACTGGGGGCAACCTTTCAAGTATAATGGTATCTTTCACAGCTCCCTTGTTTTGTTAACTAATCCCTTTCATTTTCTATTTCATTCATTCGTCTTTTTTTCAACGTTAGGTATAAAACAGACAGAAATATATCATAGATAGATAGATAGATAGATAGATAGATAGACACACACATATTCACACTGGTGCATACATACATACAGACACGGTACATACATACATACATACATACATACATACATACATACATAAATACTGGTGCTCACAAACATACAGATAAAAGTTGGTCTTTTTCTACTCTCAGGCCGTGGTGTGACAACAATCTTCAATGCTGCAACAATTCTGAATTTCTTTGATACAAATTTCCGCAGAAATGTCTGAGACAAACTTGAATTTAACTTTTAAAATATAATTAGAGACAAGATGGTTATATCTTTAAAATATATAAAAACCTTATCCCCGTACAGTATCAAAATTTTATACCATTTTCGGTAATACTTTTATAATGTTCAATTATCTATTTTATCTCTTAGCTCTCAAAGAAAACGATTTTCCATACTTTTTTATATATTAATTGGTTGACCTAGAAAATGCTTAATTCTCAACCCAACTGAACCTCCAGTGTCCGCCAATGCCTAGATGCCTTAACACTTACGTACTGGGGGACTTTATCTATACACTGAACAAAGCCAGGGAGCAGCTAAACGAATGCCAGAATACAGAGAAAGATGGAAGGAAGAAAAGACGGAGAAGGAAAAGGCACATCATTGACTTCAAGGAGCAGGACAAGCGGCTGTGGCCGCAGCCCATACCGTACGCTTTCTCCACTAGGTTTACAGGTAATTGATTGTCTATCATATACCTTTAAATTAACATGGAGTGTTGCCATATTATTATTATTATTATAACAGCCACCATGGGGGCTATGTTTTTGCCTTTGTTGGTTTCTTAGCTAGTCAGCCTAACTCAAAAAGTTATGAACAGCTTTTGATAAAATTTTTAGTCAATGAGGCGTGAAAGCTATTTTCTAAGATCCGATGAAAAGAGACAAAGAACCAAAGGGTTCTCTTTTTTCAATTTTTTTAAAGGCGCGCCGAACTGATTTTTTCTTCTTACAGATGAGGACTCGCGTGACATCGTGCGGATGGCGATGTGGGAATGGGAGTACTATACGTGTGTCCGCTTTGAGGAGGTGGCAGACCAGAAAGAGTTTCCTACCACCACCCTCGCCATTACCCGGCCTAGAGACGACGGACTGTAAGTACCATGCGGAGTTTAACAGAAAGTTTTTTCACTACGCTTTTAAAACGTAACTGACGTCACTTTTGCACGTCAAGCTATGAAGTATACATTTTGATCATGCCTTATTTTCAAACCGATTTTCGAAAAGTGCCAAAATGCACAGCGACAACTGCTGCATACGATAAAATTTTGGACGAAAGCGATGTTCCAGCCTCAGCGTTGATAAATGACCCCTTTAGCTTCAGGCCCGATACTTGCCAGTTTTTTTTTTTATATAATAAAAAAAGTTTTATTTATATAATATAAAATCCCTACGTACGCTATGTTCGCTTCTCGGACTTCGGCAAGCGGTCATATTTGGGAATTAGATATTGAAGATGCCGTGAATTTTACGTATGTGCACCTTTCCTCATTCTTGCATTAAAAAAAATAAGAGCCCTTCCTTACTTACTATAATTTGGCAATGTTAGGTGCGAGTTAGTTGTTTCACAGCCCCTCCCGGGGTGGCGCTAGCAATTTTTTTCGTTCAGCAAAATAACTACTTTTTCATTGCTTTTTTGTCCAAATGGTTTAAATTTGACTAAAATGAGTCAAATCAACTCTAATTTGTTTAGCCAATTTCAGTCAGTTTTAGCATTTTGGCTAAATTGGCGAGTGTTAGCGCTACCCCAGCCCTCGAAACTTCACTCGTATAGTACTGCGTTTATATGCGTAAAACGTTAATGATCATTTAAAGATACTACTCAACCACATTATTGGGGTAGTCTCATGAATTATGCAGGATTTTCACCTGTTCCCTGTCATTGAGAAGTTCAGTAAACAACCAGTAACTTGACCCCATTAAAACATTCTACACGAGTTTTATTTCTATCAAACCTCACAATTGCCAAGTCAAGAATTTGGACTGTCTCTTTTTTATAATGTCGACTAGTGTGCTTAAACGGAAATTTTAACTTAAATGAATAAATATCAATTACTTTCTTTCATAAGCTATGAATATTATCATTCATATAGTTGTTATGTAAAAGCAGATAAAAGCAATAAATAAATAAGTAAATAATTAATAATCAGTAATTAAACTATTGAAGTAGTAGGTCTGGTAATATATATATATATATATATATATATATATATATATATATATATATATATATATATATAATTTTAAATCACATGACAGGGTTACGTTTGAGGTTCATTTCCGTCTGACTTGGGAATGATAAGTACACTCTGTAGCATTGCAGGGTATTAAAACATACAGTTTTAACTTTTGAACCTTTTCAAATGGAAATAATTTACCTTAAACTTGAACTTAATGTGTTGTCTTTTCCCAAGGTGCGGTTCTCACACGGGGCGGGTACCATACTTCAAAGGGAACCGACAAGAGATTTTCCTGGGGAAATTCTGTATTGCCGTGAGTGAAATTGTTGAAATCCTTCCCTATATCCCAGCATCTCACATCAAACACTTCACAAAGATCGATGCTCAATTTTTCAAGCTTTGTTCTAACTTTGCACTAAGTATATCCCAGTAATTAACAGATTTAGTTGGCTCATTTTTGTATTTTATAATTAAGTAATTCATAATTAGAATGGTGTACAGTGTATGTACGTTTTGGAAATATTATTTTTACTTCTATCTTCATAAATTAAACAGTGCTATGGTGAATGTCATGAGCGGTTTTAAACAAATCATTAATTTTATTATTTCAAAAATATATCTCTTTTGTTTTTAAAAAACAATTCTCTCAAGCATGTATATAATTATTATTTTCGTATCATTTTGTTTATTCTATTTTCTTTGGATGCATTACAACTCTGAACGTTTGTGCTTTCAGACCAAACATTTTCATGTATTTCAATTTTAATGATAATTTTCTTTTATTTTTCAGCCTCCAATAGTCGTGCACGAACTCGGTCACGTGCTAGGGCTCCTGCACGTGCATACGCGGCCTGACCGGGATAACTACATCAAAGTGATCTGGTCCAACCTGGGGCCAAAGACACTGCCACAGTTTGATAAGATGTCTGCTGACAAAAGCACTACGCTCGGCTTCCCCTATGACGTCAACTCCGTGATGCATTATGGGCCGAGGGTAAGTGGGGCTACGTGATTGGTAAAGATTTATCACGTGAGTAAAAGAAGGGGTTCTTGTGAAAAGGAAATAGGGCGGTGGGGTTAATCCTTTCCATTACCTGCTTTTACCATCACAGAACGGACATATAATGTCCAAGCAAAAATTCCTCGACAAATCTTTTGCAAGGGTGTATGTGTCTTATGTTTATGTTTATGTTTATATCTATTTTATTTTATTTTTTAGAAATCAATTCAGGGACGTGTACTCCGTACTTAATTGTGATCCCAAATCTTGGCGTTCTCAGAATTAATTCATTATTTCAGATTTTTAGCAAAAGTTGGGACGCAATCACCATGAAGACGAAAGACCCGTTGCTTCAGAACAGTATGGGCTACCCGTCCAGGAAAAATATTCAGTTCTTTGACGCCAAGGCGATCAACAATTTCTACTGCAAAGGTTGGTCACAATTTTGTTAGAGTTTCCAGGTTTTAAAAAAGCAAAGTCAATAATTGACGGGTCATTTTTCGTATAGTGAACTGGTGATATGTTGGTCCTGATAATGCCACTTTTTTCATGATTTTTTGTTAATTATTTGCTTTCTTCGTTGCATTCAGCATTTTGCAATCTGGTTTATTATTATTATTATTATTATTATTATTATTATTATCGCCGCAGGCTGGTGCTACTGGACAGTGTATAAGCCCCCGTGTGAGCACGACGGTTATCAGGACCCGTATGACTGTTACACCTGTGTGTGTCCTGACGGCTTGACGGGGGCTTTGTGTGACACCGTCATTCCTTCTGAAGGAGGTAATTATAAAAGTTTTGGTAAGAGTTAAGGCATGAACGATCTCTCTCTCTCTCCCTCTCTCTCTCGCACATCGGCTCCTGCCTGTTAATTGTTATAGCGAGAACACGTACGGGCACCGTGTGCAAGAGTACAGGGTTACTCTGTACAGCGACCGTTTGTAAACGTTCTGAAGATGCAAAAATTCAGGAATTACTTTGTAAAAATCTTAAGTACACAATGGTCGCACTATGTCTATGGCACGCATAGCTACGGTTTCCTTGGTTTCTTTCAGAGCACCTGTGTGGCGGGGTTGTGTACGCCAGCGCCTCCAAGCGGACAATCGAAACACCAAACTACGGAAGGGGGTCTTATTCACCTTTGCAGACCTGTACCTGGCTGATTAAGGTTAGAGCGAATAAACAAATTAATAATCGAAAATATTTTAAATAGGTAAATGATTGCTATCACCTCCTTTTTTCCATTAGAAGTAAAATTTTCATCTTTGAGAATTTGTTTTCTGTTGGTTCGGCATATGGTTGTCCTTAATACAGTTTCATTACATGTAGTTGAGCAACTGTGGTATAATGAGAAAAAAAAATCAGTTACTTTATATCAAGTTGAACCTGATGTTCAAAATAAAATAAATTTAAGGATGCATGTAGTAATATATTGCCTCAAAGCTACATGTACTCCCAGTAGCAGAAGCACTAGTAGGTCCTACATGTACTAGTACTTCCTCGCCAAAATAATAATGTGTTGGATCACTTCAGTGATGAACTCATACATTGCCTTATTTCATTCTGTTACAAGTACTTTTTTCATTTATATATTCAGGCCTCGGAAGGCAAACGAGTGGCCTTCACCTTCACTGGCGCACGGTTTGGTTTACAGTGTTATAAGAAGCCACTTCTCCAGTGTGTTGACTCTGTGGAAATACGGTACGGGTCGTCCATCGCAGTTACAGGCGCTAGGTGAGTTTGTAACGGCACCTTTTTGCTTATTTTATGATTTGGATTGAAATAGCGTCTTAAAGGTATTAATGGCAAATTAATAGCGAGATGTGTATTCGATCCGTACGGCGGATGTTAAAGTTGATTGCCTGCTCTCATCTTTCAAGGTACCGTTTACATGTTTACAAGTTAATAGCTTTTACCAAATTTATCTGATCCGTGAAAAAAAGGACTAATTTGCGCTTTCTTTCTATATTTAATGCTATTGATAAAAGTAGTAATAGGTCAAATATATACAGTTTGTACCGGTAGCAATGCTAGTACTTTAATCCTTCTAATATTAATACCAAATAGGAACGATTTTCACAGTATTCATTCCATCATATAACACTTTTTAATAATTTCTCTTTTCAGATTCTGCTGTGATGTCCTGCCACGGGTCACCGTAATATCGGAAACACACGAAATCCTGGTCCTCTTCCGCGCCGACTATGACATCACACCTAACGGGTACGACTCGGAAGTCAGGAGCAGAACCGGATTCAGAATTGCATTCTGGGAAGTGGCTGGCGCCGATAGGAGGACCATAAAGTCCAAATATTAGGAATGACCTCACGCACTTTGTGTATCAATCGGTTGATATGAAGCTTTTGCTGAGACAACACTAAATGTAATGTAAATACGAGTGGATCCAGGGAGACTTGATGAACAACAAGGACGCGTCTAAACAGATAGTTCCCCCGAGAACACTTGCATTTAGACAAAACCGAGCGATGAAGAGGGGGGAAATTTCCTTACCCCTGTGCCCCACCACCAGTAATATCAACCCTGAATTGCACACTGAATTTGTATCTATCTATCTGAATCTACCTATTTGAATCTACCTGAGGCACGTGCTTCATTATCATTTTTTGTGTTATCAGTGGCATAATAATACATATACATTGTAACAGCGTCATATGATACGGAGGTCGCTGATGACATTTCTTTGTACTCTTTCCATTTCTTTGTAAATAGATGACATCTGTACATAGTAATCACTTAGCATATGCATCCTCATGCACTAAGCAGTATTATGCAGTATTAGGGATACCTGATGACATTAACTCTTCATATTAGATAGCAAGCCTTTAACCATCAATTTCAAATGGGGTGTTTTTTGAGAGAAGTGTTAACCTTTTTGCCCCCGTACTTGACCTGGCTTGAGAAATTACATGTGCATAGAATCAACTGTGCCAGTAGATCAAATCTAACAGTAGAAGCAGTGCTGATCTTTCCAGCCAAAGGGGTAGTTCTTCGGATCCGCCGACCTC